CCTCCCTCCTTTCCACTCTAAAAATCAATGGAAAAATATTAACAACAAAACAATTGGTGATTACTGGCCAAGGAAAAATAGATGTTTCTTTCAAAACAAAAAGGCCTTCAAAAGAAAAGAAAAAAAAAGGCTTTTCAAAATCCTTTTAGGATTACTGACAAGATTTGGCCCAGTTTCACAAAAACAATGATACAACACCTCTTTATAAAAACAAACAAAAAAAAGCAATATGTTCCCCTGAAACAAGCATCAAGTGCTGGCATGCTTTCAGCAAATTGATATTTCTCTCTCATTTTCAGTCTCTCTCTCTTAAAAAAGCAAACTGATAATTAATGGTCCACAATGAGTAAGAAATATTCCCTATTTTCACAAATAGAAATTCTAGACTTATAATTATTTCAAGATAACCCGGTAGGGTTATTTCATTAAATTTATTTTGACACTGCCAGATTTATGTCTCTGTTATAAGCTTTGAGATGGGGGAACATTCAAAAGCAAGAGAAGAAAGCATTAATCATCCAGAACATCTGTCATTCTTAAGCAGCCACTCTCTTTGAGGTGCAGGCTATCCCCAATCTGGTCTCCTAACAGCAAGATGGAGGGGTAGTAACAGAGGCCTTAGCCTTGCAAAACTATCTTATTGTCAAAACTGACAAATCCAAGCCCTACTAAGCAACTCATTTAGAGATCATTCTAAGGCAGTTCACTAATATTCTAAATCGGAATTTGAAATCAAGTACCAAATTCAATAGCTCACCTCTGGAAACACATAAAATGAAAACACGACTCTTTTGCTGGCAGTTTTGCTATACTATGGTAACCCATTCAGAAAGAGTGAGTTTTAATTTAATTCCACAACCACAAAACACATCACGGTTGAACTGGCAGTCAAGAGGAAACACAAAGCACCACTCGCTAACTGGTTTCTTGTGATGGTTGTGCCTCCTCAGCATCTCTTTTTCTATGGGAGGGATGTGGGAAAGGAACACTGACATTTCTAAAACAAGCATAGGACTTGTGCCTTACACACAAAATAATACATGACTGATTTTTTTCTCGGGAATATACAATGCATATTTTCATGTAATTTTACTGAAAGCCACAAAAAGGAAGAGCTATAGAACAGTTTTGAGGATACAGTATTGCCACAAATGTGGGTGGTGGATAAACAATGAGTGAAGAAGATGAACTCCTAATAGGTTTTAATGTGTAGTTAAGACTGAATACATGATGTAAAATATCTGCAAAATGCTGAGCACATTTTAATGGCTGCCACATCCTCAAAACAGCATCACCTGTCCCCTTTAAAGCACCAGCTGGGCCCTAGCCAGGTTCTCAGTGGTTAGAG